GTCCCATGATCCTCCAAGTATGTCTCCTCCAGTATGTTCTAGCGCTAGCGCAAGTGGTGATACTAGGCTACGAAGCCGTAAGGCAAACTTGGTCATGGCACAAGTAGCAAGCGTTATCATTGCTACCGCGAGAACCCTGCCGAACCCTAAACGCCAATGTTTGCTGCAGCCCTGCGGCTGCGAAGACAGACTCGAAGCCATCTCTGCAATGATCGCAAGGATACTGCTCCGTGTAGTCTACCAGCGAGTTTACCTCGGGGCTTAGGAGTCAAAGGGTTCAGGGATTTGGACGAGTTTTCAGGCCTGGGCCTATGGTTTCGGTTCTACTCACCGTTGAATCAGGAAGTCGGACGGACGAGCTACTACTGTTTATAGTATAAATCCTGCATTACCTTAANNTTACGGTATATTCCTTATTATGGGTGCCGCAGGATTTTTATCATCAACCGGAGGTCTTGGAATATGTAATTCAGGTCATTAAAGAGGCATACAGAGGCATACACGCCTTGGGGCTTAGCGTCGTTGTGTACAGTTTACAGTACAGCCTGTTTACATGCACTGGTCCAAAAGTCTCTGGAGAACAAGCTTAAACGGTCAGAAAAAGAATTCTGATGAGATGTAGGTACAGCGGTATATTCACATGCGGTATACTGCACCAAACATCTGCGATGACTATAGCTTTAGTACCAGGTCTTGCTAATGGCTCTGGCCTTCTGGCCATTGACTCTAGAACCCCAACAGCATTGAGGCCTCTTAAAACCCAAGAGAGCCCAAAGCCTTAAAGAGCCCTAGGTGGTCTACCACATACCCGCAGTCTTCGCCAAAAGCAAGTGCACTCTGCTGAAGCCCTCAAACTCAAGCTCTTGCTGCGTTGGCGTCCAACTCATCTGCTCACGCACTTCCGAAATTGGTTTTCCAAATTTCTCTCTGAAAGACGGTTGAAGTTCGACGGGCTTTGAGTGGTGAAACCCTAAACCTACCGTTTCCAAAGCCTGTTCGTGTTCCTGTGTCTAGGAAGTTGCCCTCGTTGGTCCTTGGCGCAGCAGACAGACCGAGCCCCTCGGTGACCCTGAAAAACGAAATCCTCAACTATCACTAGCATTACTGTAGGGCCGCCATATTTAGAATAGGATCTTGGGGTATGTTATGCTATAAATATNNATAGGTAATTGTTTAGGCCCTTATATAATGCTGTCTTTCGGGATGGCTGTTGGGACACCCACCACGTCTGCGCCGTGTTCTCAACTACTCGGTCTTCGACCTCGACCAAAGAGCCTTCGTCGCAGGCTAGACTTAAAGAATAGCACTGCAATCAGCAGCACGAGTGCCAACAAAGCAGCTGACGTCCATATGCTGTTCGTGCAAAGCGAAGCATCTGGAGAGGCTGCGGATTCAGGTTGAGGTGGCGTAGTAAAAGGAGCGGCGCCATAGGCCAGTCGGCTGGCGGTCGTTTGAAGCAGCACCAGCAGTCCCACACAGATAAGAATGCCCACATCCACCATGAGATTGCCGAGGCAAGATTTCCTTTTGGCGGCAAAGAAGTCTGACAATATGTAGATCAGCTCCACGGCAACAAGGGCCCAAACACCACAGGTTAAGCACATTCCAATGCCAAAGGACAGCACACACGAGGAAGGGGCACCACCTTTCCACAAGGCACACGTGATATCCACCCATCCTCCCAAGTACGGACAGACAGTCAACAAGTGATAAACCCAAGGCACCTCAATCACGCGGAATCTCTCGATCAATTCCTCGCAAAGCCTTCCCTGTACGAATTGTTCGAAGTTCTCTTCGCTACCATACCACTTGCGAATTGCGTCATACACGAATCTCCGATCAAACTCGTTCTTGCAATCCACCATCGTCAAATCAAAGTTTTCCAGTTGCCAAATAGCCACATGCTTCTCCCGCATGAACGAACGAACGACTTGGATGAGGGGAAGGATGAGACCAAAACATACAAGAACTTGAATGCCAGCTAAGCCCCTGACAGTTGGAAACTGCAAAGTTGCGAGATACGTCCCCTGGATAGCCGCAATGCCAAAAAACGATTTCAGGATGAGGTTCTCAACGAAGATTGGCTGAAATGCGATCCTCCCTGAGGGGTTCGCTGTTCGATAAGCAGCTAGTTCGAAAACACACCAAAGCCTTGATAGGTAGGGCGGACGTTGTTGTTGTTGGCGAAGACGACAG